TCTTTCTTTCTTTCTTTCTTTCTTTCTTTCTTTCTTTCTTTCTTTCTCTCTCTCTCTCTCTTTCCTTTTAACCATTTTCTTTTAAAATTTCAATGTGTGTGTGTGTGTGTGTGTGTGTGTGTGTGTGTGAAGTAGGTCAAAGGGGTATCAGATCACCTGAAGCTGGAGTTACAGACAGTTGTGAGCTTCCTGCTTTGGGTTCTGGAGACTGAACTTGGGTCTTCTGCAAGAACAGTGTGTGCTTTTACCCACTAAACCATCTCTCCAGCCCAAGAGCTTTTCCTTTTTTAAACTTCCTAAATTAGTATATGTTCTACAAAATAACGGGTTTCCCTGTAATCCTTTTACTATGTTTTATACATAACATACTTTTATTGTATTTGCTCTCTATTATCTATTATCTTTTTTTTGTCTCTCTCTTTCCTACTCTTAAGTAATCTTCCTTTCACTTACATGTTTTCAAAAATCTAGATTCCGCATATGAGAACGAGAACACACTGTTTATTTTGTTTAGCACAATTACCTCTGGTTCTGTTTCCATCCCTACAAGTGTCATAACTTCATTGTTTACAGCTGAATAAAATTTAGGTGTGTATCTATATCACACCTGTGTTATCCAGTCACCTGTTGAGGGGCCTTAGGCTGTTTCCATAATAGCTACTGTGAATACTGTTGAAGTAAACTTGAATGTGCAGGATTACTGCAGTACCCTCCCTTAGATTCTTTTGAGTATATTACCCAGGAATAGTATAGCTAGATATGATACTTCTCTTTTAGTTTTTTTTTTTTAAACTCCATACTGATTTCCATGGTGACCCAATAAATTTACATTCCTACTAGTTCCAGTTCCACTTCTAGTTTCATTTCTGTGACTGTGATAAAATACCCCAGTAAAAAGAAACTTAGGAGAAAAACAGTTTATTTTGGCTCATGATTCCAGGTTACAGTCTATCAAAGCAGGGAGAACAGTATCAGGAGCCTGAGACAGTTAGTCACACCAGATTAACAAGAGCAGAGAGAAGGGAATATCCACACACACATGGCTAGCCACATCACACACGCAGTCAAAAACAGAAATGAATACACACACACACACACACACACACACACACACACACACACACACAGACACACACATGGCTAGCCACATCACACACGCAGTCAAGAGCAGAGGTAAGTGAATACATACATGCCTGCCTCTTTGCTTGTGCTTACTTCTTGTACAGCTCAGGACCCCTGTCTAGGGGATGGTGCTGCCTCTAGTGGGCTGGATTTTCCCACATCAATCAACCCCAGAGACATACCCACAGGCTGACTCAGTGTAAACCGTCCCTCACTGAGACTATTTTCCTAAGTGATTCTGCATCGTATCAAGTAGACATGTAAAGCTAACCATCCATTACATGACCAAGAGTGTACATAGGGCTTTCTTTTTCAGGGAATGTTTCTCACACTTTGATTCTCTACAACCTCTTTTCAAATCAGGTTTTTTCTATATCATTTATCAACACTGATAATATGAATGATTTAAAATCTTACCGTGACAGGAACAACTTTTTTTTAAAACCATTGTTGTTATTATTGCTGTTTTCTTTTTGAGACAGTGTATCACTATGTAATCCTGCCTGGCCTGGAACTCAGAGTAATCCCCTGCCTCTGCCTTCTGAGTGCTGGTATTAAAAGGTGCATACCACTTTTTTCACTAGCCTGAAACTGTATTGTAAAAGAGAATCAGCCTTTCTTTGCTGCCCAGGGAGGGGTCTATATGGTGACCCTCTCAATTCCCACCACAATTTAAAGGGACACTCACACAGTGTCTGAAGCCTTTGCTATCCTCCAGGTGGAGAGGAGGATGTCCTCAAATTCCTTACAGTAAGAACCCACTTAGGTGGTGTCACCAACCTTGGATTCCAGATGGAACAATACATCTGCAAAGGGCAAAGTGATGGTATCTACATCAAAAATCTGAGGAGGACCTAGGAGAAGCTGCTACTGACAGCTCCATCCATCGTTGCCACTGAGAACCCTGATGATGTCAGCATTATCTCCTCCGGGAACCCCTGGGGCCAGCCAGCTGTGCTGAAGTTTGCTGCTGCCACTGGAAACACTGGCCATTCACTAACCAGATCTAAGAGGGCTTCCGGGAATGATGTCCTCTGGTAGTCTCCAGACTGAGAGCTGACTCTCCAGCCACTCACAGAGGTATCGTATGTGAACCTGAGCACCATTGCTCTGTGTACCACAGATTCTCCCCTGCCCTGTTGACATGGCCAGTCCATGCGACAAGGTACTCACTCGGTGCATCCTGTTTGGTGGATGCTGGATTGGAAGTTCTGCACATAGGTGTCACCATCTCTGGTGAGCACCAGAGATTGAGGAGGAATAGTAAGTGCAGCCGAAAAAGCCTGAAGAAATGTCAGGGTGAAAGGGCTGTACCTGCTCCTGCTCTTTTCAGATGGAGGTGACAGGCTGGTCTGGAGTGTACAGATGTCCTTTGTGAAGTCCTCTCGTGAAGCGTGGGATGTCTAGACGGCTGCTGGGGACTAGTCTGTGGCACTCATGATCAGGCTGCTGGATCAGGTGGGAAGCACCACGCAGTAGTCATAAACTGTTCTGCAGACATCTAAGCAAAACAGAAATGTGAATAGAAGACAGTTTGTTCAAAAGAGATCAATCCCCCACCCCCAAAAAGCGTCACAAATGGGAATACAAAGAGCTTTAAATAGAAAGACTTCCCTCACTCATCCATTCTAATGCTATGAAGACGCATTTAGCAGGGGCCAGGAACAGTGAAACATACAGAGGAAATAAAAGATAAACTCTGTCAGGGGAGATAAAGATCACAGAAACATAGGAAATACTGAGTGGGTGGGGAGAGAATGCTGAGTCCAGCAGCAGGCTATTGTGTGCATATATAATTTCTGTTGGATCTGGGCATGCAGAGGACTGGAGATAGAAAGTCTTTACTAGGAAGTGAGATTTGAGCTGAGTTTGGGGATGGGCAATCTTGAGCCAGTGGAGAAATCATCTGTTAGGCGAGTTGTCTTCCAGGGAGGAGCTTAATGGGGACAGGGGAAGTTGGGATCAAAATTATTTCCTGCTCTGCTTCCTGTCAGTGTCGGTTAGTCATTCTGCCTTGGGGAACCCCTTAGCAGTGTGTTTCCCTACAGACTGGGGGACTGACCAAGTCACCCTTTCCAGACAGGAGCTTCTGACATGGGGGCTCTTCTGTGGTTACTTCTTCTGCTGCTTCAGGAAGGTGAGTGGCTGCCTGATCCTGCATAAGACTGTCTCTGTACCACTCCGTTCTGCTTGGCCTTGGGTCAGCAAGACCCTTCATTTAGGGATGACTGTGTCAGCCCTTTTGTTGACATGGATTGTGCTGGGTGTGTACCCAGGAGTGATATAGCAAGATGGAAGTTATGAAGAACTTCTGTCTTGATCTCCAAGGAATAAGGTATGGTATCAGAGCAGGATGAGAGAGGAAGCTATCTGAGGGACATGTATGGGGTTGCAGTCCCAGAAGGAAGAGGAATAAGAGAAATTTTGGATGGTGAAGAGATAAATGGGAATCGTCCCCAGTCAAATCAGGTGCAGTTGAGATCTAGACCTACAGGAGGTAGCCAGAGAGTCGAACTAAGCATGGAGCTAGAGAAGGTACTCCAACAACGATGAGCCGTAGCTACCATGTTAATTAGCCTCAGCTACCCAGAGATATCAGCTGGGCTGTATCCATCTCTTTTCAGCCAAAGGGTTTTCTGGAGATGATGAGGACCCTGAGGAAGTGGTTGCAGTCCTTCAAGAGTCTATCAACCTCTCTTTGGAAATACCATCCAGTGAAGAGGTTAAGAACATCATCTGGACCTCTCAGAAAAACCTTGCCGAAGTGATGCCAGGCAGAGAGGGACAGCCAGCCACAATCATCGTGATGGATCCTCGCTATGGGGGCAGATTGGTCCTCACAGAGTCTGGCTACTCCTTGTGTATCAGAAATCTGACCTGGGAGGACTCAGGGCTTTACCAAGCTGAAGTCAACTTGAAGACATCTGAGCTCTGTATCACCAAGTCTTACTATCTCCGTGTCTACCGTGAGTTTACACTCCTTTCATTCCGGCTTTCCTGAGTTTGGAGTGGAAACTCAGGAGCCGAGGTAAACTTTAAGAGGCTGAAACTGGAAGGCAGACTGCCCCAGGTCTGTTCTGTTCTAGTGCCTAAGCTTCAGCTCCAGGGAGAGTGAGGTATTGGGTACTGAGGCTGTTTCCGTGGAGGTGTTTAAAGCAGTAACAGAGTAGGGACTGAGTATAGAGCACCTAAGTCCCCTTTCTCACTCAGGAGACTGCTCTAGACAAACAGCCCTGGAGCCAGTTATCTCCCTGTGTGATTTGAGGGTTGATAATAATTTCTCTCCACTTGAACCAAAATTTCTTCTCTCCACCTGCCACACTGAATCCACTTTGGATCTTGGAGAGCCGATTACAATGGAATGTGTTTAGGGAGGGGAGGGATGACGACATTCTGTGTACTCAGTGAGTAGAAGACGATTTGGAGGAAAGAGGGGTGTAAAGCTAGGAGAGTGAAGTTAGAAGGTGCCAGTGGTGGGCATCTGTCAGCAGATTCTCTGGGACTCTGTAACTGTAAGTTTTATGGTTGTTTTATCTGGTTTTGCTTATTTGTTGTTTGAAAAGGGCTTCTCATGAGAGCAAAAATACCCAAGGTTTGAGAAACTGAGGAAAACCGACCCAACTCCAGAATGTTCAGTAGGTCTTTGTGTTTTCTTCTCTTTTAGGGCGGCTGTCAAAGCCCCACATCACTGTGAACTCTGCGATTTCCGAGGAAGGTGCCTGTAATATATCCCTGATGTGCTCTGTAGAGAAAGCAGGCATGGATGTGACCTATATCTGGCTCTCATCACAGGACAGCATTAATGCATCCCATGAAGGCTCTGTCCTCAGGACATCCTGGAGGCCTGGTGACAAAACCCTTTCCTATACTTGCTGGGTCAGCAACCCCATCAGCAACTCCAGTTCCCGCAGCATTCATGTTGGGTCCTTCTGCGCAGGTACCAGAACCCAAGACACTGAGCCTATGAACATCTGTGCCTCAGGGCACTACCTCTTCCTCTTTCTCCAATGCCTGTGGTTCTTCTTCTTCTGAGATAGTTTTTCTGTGTATCCCTGGCTGTCCTGGAACTCACTTTGTAGACTAGGCTGGCCTTGAACTTAAAGAGATTCTGCCTGCTTCTGCCTCCCAAATTCTGGGATTGAAGGCATGTGCCACCACTATTTGGCAAATCTGTGATTTTTTTTTTCTTTTTTGGATTTTTCAAGACAGGGTTTCTCTGTGTGGCCTTCGCTGTCCTGCATTCACTTTGTAGACCAGGCTGGCCTGGAACTCACAGAGATCTGCCTGTCTCTGCCTCCTGATTGCTGGGATTACAGGTGTGCACAACTGTGCCCAGCCAACCTGCAACTTTTAAGGAGAGTACATAAACTCCAGAACATAACCCTCTCCTGTAGAGGCTTGCCACTGGATCAGGGCCAGCCATTTTGTCCATTGCTCTGGATTTCCAGGTCACCTTCTGTACTTGGCTGGAGATTGATGGCCAGATCTCAGTCCTTGAGCTCCGGTGCACAGATTAGGCATTTCTAGAGACATTTGCCATAAGATACGAGTTTAGGATTATCCCAAGAGCCTTTCTGTGAAACTTTAGGTAGATGTCTGCCCACTAAAATTACCGTTCTTCTAATGAATTCCTTTCCTTTCTTTCTATCCCAGATCCTGGCTACCCGGAGAAGCCTTCAATGTTCTGCGTTCTGGCCAAGGGCTTGCTCCTTCTCTTACTCTTGGTAATTCTAGCTGTGGGACTCTTCATCTGCCAAGCCTGGAAAAAACGTGAGATGTCAAGGGTGAGGAATCTCAGGAGAAACCGCATCAAACTAAGGAAGAAGGGGAAGCCTGGCCCTAACCCAGTCTGACTGGCATTTAAGGGCCTCTGTTCTGAGCTTTGTTTCAGTCTCCAGGGAAAGCCTTGTGGAGACAGGCGGGGGAGGGGATCAGACTTGAACACCTATGAGGGCCGTATTCCCTGAGAGACACCATCTGACCATAGAGTCCAGTCCCCATCTCTTTGGAGGGGCTGTGCTTGGTGTTTCCATTTGTGCTGGGCAGCCCAGGAAAAATCTGTTTCCTGCCTTCGCTACCTGTCCAGGCATCTTTACTGAAGCCCATGCCCCATCACAGGCTTGCCTTTGGGCGGGGAAAATGAAGCTGAAGACCGCATTAGAGTGAAGCATTTGTGTTTACTACATGCAAACCATCTCCACCAACCCAAATCTTTATATACTCCAAACTACACGAGAGGCTTTCTCGGCTAACTGAACTTGTGAGCCCTAAAGGACTGCCATTCACTCAGAATTCTGCCTGAATGTCCTGCCTAATGGGCTCTTTGCTCTCCTGCTCCATCCTCATTCTAGCAAAGAAACTGAACTCTTCTACCCAGCGTGCCAAGTCTACAGAAGCTGTCCCACAGAAAGGTGGGAGGGGCCCCTGCTCAGTCCTCTGGGTTATAGTTAAACTTGGTGACCTCTGATACCTCCCTGATGCCAGCTGCTTTGAGCCCTGCTGCTCACCTGGCAGGAGTGACAGCTTGCAGGATCAATTGCCAAGATCTTGGACTCTTGACTTTTGTTTCAGGTTGACATTGTTCAGCTGGGTGTGGTGGTGCTCACCTTTAAGCCCAGCCCTTGGGAGGCAGAGGCCAGTGGATCTCTGCGTATAAAACCAGCCTGATCTACAAATTGAGTTCCAGGACAGTCAGAGGCTACAGAGAGAAATCCTGTCTAAGTTGATTGGAATCTTGAATCAATGTAGAGCTCTTTGCATTTGCTCTTTCCATAGCCCTATGTCTGATGTGCCTATCCGATTATTTTTCCCCAAATCAGATCTCGTGTATTTTACTTAGGCCAAATGCCAGGGTTCAGGGGAGGAAGGAGTACAAGAAAAGCCACTCAATCAGTAGGACAGGGGTAAGTAAGAAATGAATCGGTCGAGGTGATGTAGGATACACCAAGGAGGGAACTGAGTGAGATCTTAGGACACTTAGGTTTTGCTCAGCCACTTTGCCCTTGTTAGGATACTGTGCTTACCCAACAGGCTTGGGGCACAGTTCAGTTCCACAAAGAACACATAATTGAATGGAAGACATAGGAACTTCTTGGAGTTCTTACGGAGACTCTGTTTCCACCAAGTTGGTATCTGATGGGATCCCTGCAGAGCCTTGAAAGAGGTTCCTGAAAGGTAGGAAAAGAGCCACGTGGCATGATGTCCTTCTTGTCTTTGAGGAAGCTGTTGATCTCCAAAGTGTCTTCCAAGAATAAGACCATGAAGTCTGTGGTAGAGGAAGATGCAACAGGGGACCCGTAGAGACCAAGGACACTTGGCTTTCAGGAAAGCAGGGCATATGATCTGGCAACTAGGGCAGTCTAGGAAGAGGCTCTGTGAGAGCAGAGGACAGATTCAGAAGCCAAGTCCGTGCGCACGAAGAACACCCCTGGGTTTCTGTGAAGGAGATGGGATCTCTCGGAGCTTGAGTAGGTAGGATGTGGTGAGGTCGAAAACTAGCCCCCACTGAACTCCCAAGACTGCAACCTGATCTATACCATTGTCTCAGAGCCAGGGCCCTTGACCCTCTAGAAAGCAGTCGCTGGCCTGAGACTGGTCATCTGGACCTCCTTTAGGTCTTGAACAGTCTTGTCTTCAAAAAAGGTCTGTGGCCTCAGCTTCCAACACTTTCCATGACTGTCATAAGAGGTGCCACTTCAAGGTGAGGACCTGCCTGGGAAACCCACCTGGAGTCCAGTTTATCCTTAGAGGGATTGCCTATTTCTCATGTCTTTTAGGAGTTGGCATAGTGAAAGCAAATAGAGGAATGAATGGTCCCTGTGTAGCTGGTCCAGGGATCTCCCTGGAGTTGGCAGAGTCCCTTCTTCTCAGAGCCAGTCTCTGAATAGAGAAAGCCCAAAACAGCCTGGAAAAGGAAGGCTGAAACCTCAAAGAGAGTGTACCCTCAGGAGCCAGGGTAGCAACCTGGCAGTGTGCTGTAAGATGCCCTTACTCGCTGTTTGAAACAGGTTAATGCAAACTGCCACCAAGCTTGTCACCGTGATGATAATGGACTAAACCTCTGTGTATGCCAGCCCCGATTAAATGTTTTCCTTTGGAAGAGTTGCTGTGGTCATAGCGTCTCCTCACAGCGCCGGAGACCCTAACTGAGACAGGGGTAGTGGGGGGAAGGCTGAGCTTATGCTCTAGTCTCCTCTCCCCGTAGTCCAAGTTCTTCCTGTGACTCAAAGCACCCAGGCACTCACACATCTCGAACGGTCCAGCTCTCAGGACTTCCAAGAGGTGGAAGGCCAACCACAGCAATGGGATCGGATCTGGGTGACCATCACAGGGGGTGGGTGACAGTGACTGAGGTGTGCTAAAATCTTGTCCGCTCCCCACCGTGCTTTCATCAACTACATGCTCAATGCACCCCGTTTCAGTTTTCCCCCACTCAGACTGCGGTGAGGGTGAAGTCGCTTTCATGGAGGGTTTCCAGAGGAGCTCCCTGGGACAGACCTGGACCAATGTCGCTCGCTCGAGCCTGGTGGCCAGCAAATAGCAACCCTGCACCCCCACAGCAGAGCCAGGCTGAGTACAAATTTCTGCCTGTGGGCGAAATGTCCCAGGGTCACGTGATGACTTGGCGCTGAGAAGGGCCCTCTCGGGGAGCACCTGGTGTTCAACAGCGATTTCGATTGGATCTAAATGCAGGCTCTGAGTGCTTAGATGGGAACTCTCCGGCAGGTTTCTTACTCCGTGTGGTCCGGCTGCTTATTCTCACTAAGCAAAAGGAGCTTGCGCTCACTTGGCGGGTTTTCAGAGCAGATTACAGGAGCAATAAACTAACATGCATCTATCCCAGGGTCTGGCACTCGGCAAGGGGTTCAGGGGAGGACAAGGCAGTTCTTTCTCTTTCCACCTTCGTTGTCGGGGTACCTGCCATTTCTCCCCCCTCCCCCCCGGGCTTATTTCTCTATGTCGTTGGTGCTAGAAGTTCCTGCCATCCAAACCAGGAGCTCAGCCTTCAGCAAGCTACACACAAGGGAGGCGCCTGGGCAAAAGCTGGGAGCTCGCCAAAACAGACAGGTATTTCCAGTCCAGCGAGAGGAAATGAGTGGGGGTGGGGATGACGATAGGAGAGGAGATCAGATGGGCCCTGGACTTGGGTGGATCCCCAGGGAGGGGGCGGGGAGTCGTGCTCTCCTCGAAGTGCTCTCGCTCCTGGCTCAGGTTTCAACCTCCGATGCCTCCTTTGTGGTACCGTTGTTCGGAAAAGGGAGAAGGCCACAGGTAGGCTATAAAGGAAGGAGGGCAAGCACGTAGCCTGCAAAGGAGGTAGGCTCCCGGGGCCCTTGGTGCACCGGTCCCCCTAACCTAGTAGTCCATCTGACTCGAGGCGGGAAGCGGCGATCAGCCTTCCCACGCTTAGTTGTACAGAGCTCCACGAGAGGGCGACCAGAGCCCACGTGCGACTGCGTCCTTCTCTCTCTAAACTACAACTCCCAGGCGGCTCGGGGGTCCCGCCCGCCTGGCCCGGCCTCTGTTGGCTCCAATTGGCCGCCGCGGGAGGGGGATTGGCGGTCTCCAGGGCGACGGGAGGCGCTCGGGGCATCTGAGGCGGGGAGGCGGGTCCGCCCCCTATTGTGTGGCTGCGAGAGCAGAGCTGTGCGGTGCGAAGCAGGTGAGGGTGGGGGCGTCCTGGGGCTTAGAAATGGGGTGCCGGCGGGGATAAGGGGAGCAGTGCGGAGTTGTGGGGAGCAAGGGGAAGCGGGAGAGCTCTAGAGAGAAGTGAAATCATCTGGGGGGGGAGCAGAACTAGGGTAGTTCTGGAAGCGAAGTGGAATTGCTAATAGGTGAGGGGGGGCTCCCCGAGATCTGAAAGAGTGTTAAAGGTGATGTAGGGGAGTTCTTGGCGGGTTCCAAAAGAAAGGCGTTCCAGGAGCCAGATAATGCGAGGGAAAAGAGAATTGTTGTGGTAGACTATCAGAAGTGTATTGTGGGCTGAGCCCGTGAGGATCGGGGTGAGGGGGGATTCCCGGGAGAGCAGGGTGGGGAAAAGGGGGAGAGCAAGTGGGAATTCTGGAGGAGGCCAGCCGGGGGTGCTTTGAAGCGAGATCCTGATGCAATTGGTGATCAGGTGTGAGAAGCTGGAATTTTGCAGACACTGGAAAGTGTATGGCTGGGATGGGAGTCCTGGAGGAAAGCAGTGCTGGATGGGAAGACCAAAACGACGGAGGATGGATGGGGAATAGGAGTTGGGAAGGTTCCAGGAAAAGTGGGGTAAATTCTGGGGCTGCCTTATCACCAGGCATTCTTGGTAGAATCACCAGGATTCTTGGTACAGCCAAAAAAGAATGGCCTCTGTGGGGTACAATTTGAAGGGTTTCCAGGGAAGTCTAGGAGAGCTGGCTGGGTGCAGCAGGAGGCAAGGGAATTAATTACCAGGAGCCAGGCATACAGGGGTATTATGGAGGACCAGGGATGGGACTGTCCTGTGGAAGGTATTTTACAGTGCTGAACTGCATGAGGCCAAGGACAGGGTGGAGGCCCCAGAGCAGAGTCCACTTGGGTTTGCTGGGCCCAGGTCAGGGCCCTTTGGTCCTTTGTGACTGCCTTAGATGCTGAGGGGGTGGTACTGTTAGGAGTGCTTACCTTCCGTGCCTCAGGGTTCATTTTGTGTATCGTAGGGACTCCAAAGCTTTTTCATTTCTCTCTGATCATACCTCGAGGGTTAGGGAAGGGAGGGCCTGGCAAATCCCAGCACCCCCAGGATACTAGAGAGAAGTGTGTGGGAGTAATTAGGGTGAGGCACTAGGTGGGGGTGTCTGACCGAGGGAGGGTTCTCTGGCAGCATCGTGAAGAAAGTAGCGGCAGCTGCCAGCCCAGGATCTGTCCAGACCTGGGCGCTGCTGCCTCCCTCTCCCACCCGCCATCCTTCAGCAGGTGGGGAAAGGCAAGCTCCTCCCACCCCAAGTCCCTGTCTCACTCACTGCCAAAAGCAGTGTTGAGTGACTGAAGAATGGCTCCAGGCTCCTGGGCTCCCCATAGAGGATGGGAAATGTGCTGAGGGATCGGATATGGGTGCTCTGTGGGCCACTGTCTACTGGGTAAGGGGCTAGGGGTGTCTAGTCCATGATGGTATTCGTCTCCAGGACTTCCCTGATAAATCCCTCTTCTCTTGTGTGAGAACCCCCCAGTTCTCTTTGCTCACTTTGCTAAGAACACCGTATCCCTTGCCAGGCATTCCCAGAATTCCTTTGCTTTTTCTAGGATCTGTTTCCTTACCTTGGTAGCCTCAGCCAGACAACACTCTCGTGTTCTCTAGTTCACATCCTAGTTTAGTCTCAGGGCTTCTAGATCTCCAGTTTGCGAGCTAGGAGTGTGGCTGGCTGTGGTAGAGTCTGGCAGGAATGGGGCCCTGGAGTTGATTCCCAGTGGTACAAAGCAAACGATCTCTCTAGCCTATGTGCAGATCCCACCTTTCCTCTACGACCTCTTTTTTTTTTTTTTTTTTCCCTTGGCTTGCTCTAACGGGGCTTTCTTCTGGACTCCTCCACTGACCGACTCTTAAATTTTGCATTTAGATCTGGTGGCTCTCCAGACTGGAACAGCACCCTCTGTTGCGGGAGCTAGGCTCTAACTGGAAGAGTGAGAGCTGAAACCGGTTGCCTGAGGCAGATCAGAACGACTGATGCCCCCTGGGATTGCTGGGCAGTGGACATCCCTCCGGCCCCTCCATCTGGGCTCCTGTGGATAGGAGGGGCCGGGTGAGCAGGCCAGCTGGGCTATGATTTGGTGTCTCCGTCTGACCATCTTCAGCCTGATCATCAGCCCGGGGGCTGACGGTGAGCTAGAGCCCAGGGACCAACAGCTCTGTGTTACACTAAGGGGCCGTTTCTGTGAGGATATGAGAGCAGGAGAGGGCTAGGACTGGTTCGGAGAGGTTGGGGGTTCCTCCAGGCGTGCAGAGTCTTAAGGAAACTAGAGAGATGTTGATGGAGCCTCCCTTCCATTTCTCATTTTGATCCCTTGCTGTTCCCTCATGCTACCCACCGCGTAGGTCGAAGGAAGCCTGAGGTGGTCTCTGTGGTGGGCCGGGCTGGGGAGAGTGCAGTACTGGGCTGTGATTTGCTGCCTCCAGCTGGCCGCCCCCCTCTGCATGTCATCGAGTGGCTGCGCTTTGGATTCCTGCTTCCCATCTTCATCCAGTTCGGCCTCTACTCTCCCCGAATTGACCCCGATTACGTGGGTAAGACTTGTCCTTTAGGTGGAAGTGGGGGTTAGTGTCACCAACAAAGGCGGGCTGAGTAGGCTGCTCTGTGCCCTCTCCAATCTCATCTCCTGCTCTGCTGTCCTAACTGCTTAGCAAGCATGGTCCTGCTCCCCAGTAGTGCTAATTCGTCGAAGGATTCATTTATTTATACACGATGCATGCACACATTAGAGCTTTGCTCTTTTAGCTATGTGCGGCGTGTTGCATGGGGGGATCCTGCAGCCGTATTTCGAGTATCCATCCTCCTAACTTGCTAATTGTTTGGTCCTCATCTCACTCAACCTTCCAGACTCCATCCTGATCCTCTGTAGTTTCTGCCCTTAGCCCTCTGCTGGTCTCTGCATCCTCTATCTGCTGCTCTATGTCTTACCATCCTCTACTGTCCAGAATGCCAGTTTGGAGGTTCCAGGCTTTGAGGGAGTGGGCTGAAGGGACAGCAGAGTGGGTAGAGACATGGGCTTTTTGGGTATGAGGAGCATAGTCTGATTCTGAGGAGCAGAGAGCATGAACGCAGACAGGGGTTGCCAGGAGAGGCTCAGGTTCAGTTCCCCAAAGGTCTGGGCATAGATGGGATTGTCTGGGTCTCTGCAAAGGCTTCTTCAGACATACTGTAGTTCTATACAGTACACCTCAGTACACCTATACAAGCCCCCCAGTTTGTTCCTAATCTTGGATGGAGCCTTAATCTGAGTGGTTTACTATAAGGTCTCAGAGGGCCTGTAGGAGGTCCAAACGATGGATCTGGGCTGCTGGGTAAGAAAGAGCCTTAGCGCTTCCTTTCAGAAGTGAAACCCAGAAAAGGCCACCTGGAAAGA